TTGTAGGACTAGGAGACCCTTGTCTGGAGACCCCTGGACGGTTAAGTCCAGTCAAAGGCGACTATGAGGTTGTGGTGCTCATCTCGCTTTCAGGCCGAGGGAGCCGGCGTTTGTCCACAGACAGCTTTCTGGGTCATGTGGCCAGCATGACTAAACTGCTTCTGATGCAGTGGGACACCGTGATGGAAACCAGAGTGCACGGAAATGCCATTTACCTTCCCACCACAGCGCTACCTATTTATCTACTTGCACTGGTGTGCTTTTGAACTGCTAGGTTGGCAGGAGCTGGGACAGAGCAATGGGAGCTCACCCTGTTGCGGGGATTCAAACTGCCAACCTTCCAATTGGTAAGCCCAAAGGCTCAATGGTTTGGACCACAGCACCACCTGTGTCCCTGCAACAAAAGGACCTATGGTTTGGTGTGATGTAAAAGAGATTCCTATATTCCTATGTTTCCATGACCTGGTGGACTGCAACAACCTTCTATCTCCCTTCCCTGCCCAGAAAGAGTCTGGGGAACAGAATAAGAACAGCACCCAAAGCCAAGTATTCGTCAGTTCATGAATTATGTCCAGGGGCAGATGTGAAGGCCACCACACCCTCCCCTCCAGTGCTGCTATCATACCAAGCAAGACAGACAATTAAAAAACAAAATTTTTTTATTTGGTCCTTTGGAACCTGAGTTTGAAAACCACCCATGGGATAATTCGTATTATACAGGGACTGATTACAGATTTGATTTACAATTGATAAAATATCCTATGTTTTCTTAAGAGCTGGACAATATTTACATGGTTAAAAACTATTCACAGCTCGAAGAGAGTGAACAGAAAGACACACACACACACATACACACACACACACAAAAGAAGAACATTGAAAAAGAGAAAAAAAGGAAAGGAGACATTTTGGACAGGGGTAAAAACAAAATACAGAGGAACTCACATGTTCAGCCACTCCCTGGCCTGAGATGACTGAGCTGGGAAAGGAGGAAGGAGACGCAGAGTGAACACTGATTGATAGTGGAGATGGTGGGGGAGAAGGAAAGGGGGAGAAAAATCAACTTTCTGTTCATTGCTACTTGATTAGGTGGAGAGAAAATGGAACAGGACAAGGGGAGTAGGGATGGAAAGGTAATGTACTGGCATAATGAAATGATGGCACTGCTACCCTGTCCCCCAAAGGTCCTTGCAATGCCACTTTAGCCCTCAACTTGGCCACACCCTGCCTTTCTGAGCTCCCCAACACCAGCTTGGCCATGCTCCCGGGTACAAAAAGCCCAGCTACACCTGCCTCCTGAGACAGCAAGGGTGCATCTGCGTTACCAACACATTGGCTTTATACTCGCTTAAACCCTAATGGCTTCTTTCAAAGAATCCCAAGGAAATCGCACTCCATCGTCTCTCGAGACAGACAGATGCCAACAACTGTTAAGCAATCCCTCCCCAATGCTCCCTGGAAAGAGGAAAGGGGTATTAAACCAGTTTAACTCCGTAGTGAAGATATGCCCTACAAGAAAGCTGCGTCAAAAGGGTGGGGCTGCAACACAATAGCTTGCATTCATTGCTCTCTCCTCACAGCACACTGCAATGAACTGTGGAAATTCATATACAGTGGTACCTTGGGTTACAGATGCTTCAGGTTACAGACTCCGCTAACCCAGAAATAGTACCTCGGTTAAGAACTTTACTTCAGGATGAGAACAGAAATTGTGCTCCGGCGGCAGCAGGAGGCCCCATTAGCTAAAGTGGTACCTCAGGTTAAGAACATTTTCAGGTTAAGAACAGACCACCGGAATGAATTAAGTTCTTAATCCAAGGTACCACTGTATTCAGATTACGGAGAGTGCCTGAGCCCTAGAGCTTAGGAATTCAACCCTCTGCAGGAAGAGGCTTCCAGAAAGGATTCATGTGACATTACTGACCCACCCTACAGCCATGTCATTGTGGCTCCTATACTCCAGCAAACTATGTTCCTCAGAAGTCACTGTAGGAGGAATTAGTGCAAATCTTATAACCTCCTTGAAAGTCAGGCTTCCACCTTCTTATGGCAGGGCTCCCCACATCTTCTGCAGCCACGAAGCAGGCAGAAATTGGTGAACTGTTTCCTGGTCCCTGCATCTGTGTGCTTTGATAAAGGCTCACACCTGCTGCGATTTCTGCCTGCTAGAGATCGGCCACAAGAAGGGGAGGAGGAGATGGCAACCCTTCTTGGAAGGCAAAATAAAGCATGGCTTGAGGGGAGGGGAGGAACACACGCTTCCTCTCACTGGTTCCACCACCACTGCACCCCTTTGTCTTTGAGGGAAGCGGGGAAGACTGGGCCCTGCAAACAAGCAAGGATTGGGAGCTACTCTAAACCAGAGCCACAGATGCATCCAGGACAACACACAACTTAATTTCCATTTCCCAGCTGAAAGCTGCCATTTGCAGAGCAAGGGCACAGTGCAGAGGGGCATTTTTATGGTCCCCCAAGTTATTATCACTGTGCTCTCTCTGACTTGCCTGGCACTGGCTGTGCCCCATACATGGCAACGTTCCACCTTTGAGCAGTCAATGGTGGTGGAGTGTCATTCATGTTCCCTACTTTTTTTGCTTGAAGCTGCAATGAGCCCAAGAGCAGGAGAGGCCAGTGGTGTTGGGGCTGACAACAACTGGCATGTTATCATATTTCTCCCTGAATATGGAAGTGAAAGGAATGACTGGGAGCAGCCTCAGCCCAGAGTACATTATCCACAATGTTCCCTGATGGGCATTTTGATGTCCCAAATCCTGTCCCAGCCTCCCGCTTTCCCACTCACCCTCACAGTGCTCCACACATCAACATGTGCAGACAGGGGTGGGCGGGAGTACAAATGAACTAGGCTCTTGACTGACTGCTTGTACCGGCAGAAAGGCCCTTTCCTAATGGAGGGATTGGACTCATTTTATAGAGCAACACAATGGGGAAGACACTGCTGGTGATGAGCCCCCACAGCTTTCCGGGACGCCCTCCTCCCACCCTGTGCCCGAACCAATGAAGTTGGCAGGAAGACACCATCCCTGCTACCCTGTGCCTGAGCCCACAAGGTGGACTAGAAACCCTGTCCCTGATACCCTGTTCCCGAGACCCAACTCCACAGATCTCCATCAAGCTCAGCCCCACACTGGGTCCCCTGAAGGGCAAAAGCCATGTCCTGTCAACCTCAACTATGCATCTGTCCCAAGTGAGTGATGGTGAGCACGTGTACCACTGGCGATCCATCCAGAATCTTCTTTAAGGGTGATGGCAGAGACCAACCTCTCCCTTACGGAGGGTCCAGAGGCACAACATACTCCAGAGTCCTTCCCAGCATAAGGCTATTCTCCTTGGGTGGGGAAGGAGTGCAGAAATTCCCACTGGGGCATTTCTAAACTCACTTTTCTGGAGGCTAAGCATCTGACTGCAAAGCAGAACTGGTGGAGACCAAAAGTGCTAAATTGACCGAGCTGTACATGAAAGGTTTTCGGGTAGCTTTCAAATCAGCGCCAAATTGGAAGCGCCAGAAGGCACAAGGGGAGGTCAGTCGGTAAAGGGTTCCTTGTTCTCCTCCACCACAGCTGCTGACCCCTGGCTATTCTTCCTTTGGACTGCAGACTGCCAGGAAGGGAAATTGGGAGCAACCCTGCTCCTCTGTATCATGTGAGCTGCAGGGACCACAAGTGTGAATGAACTTCCAAGCCCTTCTCAAACACCCAGGCAGCTGTGTGCCTCCCTTGCAGACTCCCAATCACTTCCTTGCAGCCTACACCCATGTCCCCAAGCCCCACTCCTCCCCACACCAAGTGTCCCCAGCAATATATATATATACAGACAAGCCCCTGTACAGATCAAAAATGCCATGATGCTAAACTTAAGCCCCAGGGGCAACATCTCCTGCAATACCCATGTGGGTGGGTCAAATGGCTTGAAGCCTGATTGGAAAAATGTGCTTCTCTAGGCTTTGTTACTACACTTGCTCCTCCACACAAGACTGTGGTGCCAGTCTTTCTGAGGGGCACGGGGGCAGGAAGAGAAGCAAAGAAGGCAGGCAGAGACTCTTATCCCAAACACCACATAAATTTGGCAGCAGGTTCCACGGCTCGTGCTTAAATCAATCTTGCAGAAAAATACAAAACAGTAAGAATTATATTTTCATAGCCAGCACTCCCACCATATGTGTTGCAAGACAGCTTGCACGTTGAGTCTAGCCTGCCACTCGTACTGCAGAAAAATGGTGCTCACGCTAGGGGAGTAGTTTAACACAGATTTAGCTAGTTTGCAGTTAAGAGCACAATGGCTCTGCCATTTTTTTGTACCCCTCCGGCAACCCAGTCTGCAAAACAAAACAAAACTTCACCACCTAGCCAACCCAGTGCTGGAAGGGAGATGGAAGTCCATCTTACAAGTCATCACCCCTCCATCTGCCAATGACAATTCCAGACGTGAGAGAGACAGAGACAGGATGGGCCTACATACCCCTCATCCCAGACCCCACCCGACCCCATTGCAGCAGCCAGCTGACATTTTTAACAGTGGGGTGAGGCACACACACAGACAGACACATTGGCCAGAGGTATATTATTGTTGCAGCAGCCTTAGGATTTTTGGCGGCTGTGGGAAGGGTCGAGTCCCAGGACCTGGCGCCTGGGAGCATCTGAGCATTGCCTGCACCTGGGGCTGGGACACGTCCCTCTCCAGGGCTGTGACATTCCCTTGCTCTCCTAACTTGACAGCAGCTCTGGATAAAGTGCATCATCTGTGGGGAGGCAGGTGGGGAGGGGAGGGAGAGAGGATTTCAAGGGAGGGGGAACCTGAGCAGCTCCCTGCCTGACCCCAGGGGATGGGAGGAAAGACGCTTGGCTTGAGACACCCAGTCTGTCTGTCTGTCCATCCTTCTCAATCCCGATGGCTCAGTAATGGCGGCTCGGGCAACGCCTGAGACAAGTGGGGCCAGAAAAAAGGCAGAAGCAGAAGAGCGGCAGGGAGGGCGGGGCCATTTGTCATAGCGGCCGGGGCCCATGTAGCCCCGCCACCTCGGGCGTCAGCAGCGGATTGTGCGTCCCCTTGGTCGACATCCAGTCATTCAGAAAGGCCTGGGTGGCTTTGCGATGTGCCAGGCGGTGGGTGATGGAGAAACCGGCGTTGCCTTCCAGCTGGGACAGAATCACTAGAACCTGCCTGGAAGAAAACAAAAAGAAAGGAGATAGACAGGTCAGTGAAAGAGAGAGGAAAATAGTGCTAAACCTCACACCTGCGAGTCTACAGCCACAAAGGAAGGCCCAAGAGCAATGGTAGGAATACAGTTCTAATTGGGCAACAGCCCCCTGGCTTTCCAAGTAGCCCTTTCATCACGCAGGAAGGTCGCAGATTCCCCAAAGGCTTCCAATACACAAACAATCTCTGGGATCAATTCTGGCCTGGTGCAGACTTAACATTCCAGATCTCTTAACTAGGTGAAGAGCAGAGGTGCAAAACTTCCAGCACACAGGTCAAATGTGGCCCACCAGGCCTCACCATCTGGCCTACAGTCATTTGGGACAGGCAATGCCCATCCAGCCTACAAGTGATATCATCCATCCATTGTTTTTGTTCTTATTTTTATTGTGTATTTTGTGTTTTTTATATCTATGGATGAAGGGCAGTATACAAATTTAATAAATCATCGAAGGACCAATCAGGAGCTTAAGGCGAGATGGATGAAGGCATGCTCCTATTGCCCATCACATGATGGGTGGTGTGGGTGTGCCTTGCTTCAGAAAGGGGAAGAGGTTTCTATTGAAATTACTGTCCAAATCAGGATGGGGTGGAGTCTCCATTTTAGTAGTGGTTTCAGTGGGATCTACTTCTCCCTCCCAGTGCTGCCCCTTGAACTTCTCAAAATTGGTTGAAAAACAGTGAAGGCACCTGGACTTGTCAGTTGAGGAGAGAGGGTGTCCCTCCCCCTTACATTCTACAAGGCGGCAAACAGCTTCATTCCCCCACACGTGGCAATTCTACAACTTAAGCACACCAGCGGGAAGTTAAATCCAGTTTTCTCAGCCCCCCACTAGCTCCCTCTCACCTGTGCAGAGGGGGCACACTGTCCTGTGTTTTGAGGCTGCCTCGTGTCGACACAACGTTGAAGCTGTCTGTGCAGTCGCACTGGACGTGCAGGTAGGATTTAGGGTGCCGGTTCTCCACCACCACAATGAGACCTGCCCAGCCATGTGTCAGGTAGTAGCAAGTCATCCCCTCGCGCCCCTGCGGAAGCAAACCAGCCAGTCAGTCTCGGCCCCAGACCAGCGAATCCTGCCTCCCTCCACCTCACCCCCGCATGGCAATACAGAGTCCCAACCTCCAAGACTTGGGGCCCAGGCTCACTCCAACTCTTTGGGAAGATGCGCGTTCCCAGGAGCGCATGTGCAGCTGCAGGTGCTTGGCTGCTTTCCAGAGAGAACATCCACAAAACCCACCCATCCAACTAACAGCAGGACACCTGCCTGCAGAAAGCTGTAGGATTTTATGTAGCTTAGTAAGCTAGGAATTAAGGAACTCTAACCTCACATCTGCTATGGACTCTGTAGGTGGTCTTAAACAAGCCACCATCACCTGAGCCTGCTTTGCACCCCAAGTGTTTTGCCTTGGAGTCTGATAACACCTCTTGCTTTTCTGGAGGGAGGGTAGAGAGGGGTGTGGGAGTACCGGAGACAGTTTGCATTTGCGGCTCCACCCACTATTTACTATGACCCCGCCCACCACTGGCATGCGGCCCTTGGGAGATTGCTCAGAAAGGAATGTGGCCCACAGGTTGAAAAAAGGTTCCCCAGCCCTTACATGTACAGTACTGAGACAGTGCGTGTGAAGCAAGTTTGAACACTTTAAAGCGCTCCATAAGCGGCCACCGTTTTCCCAGTAGGAAGGCTCTTAGGCAGCTGGGGTGGGCAAAATATCTGCTGCAAACCCTGGAGAGCTGCTGCCTGTCAGAACAGATACCAGCCTTCTCCAACCTGGTGCTCTCCCAGCCTTCTAGATGTTGCTGGGAGTTGTTGTCCAGCCCTCCCCACCTCACTGCCCTCTGATGGTAGCCAATATGCTGATAGTGAGAAGGAGGAAAGAACAGACTCTCTGAAGCAGCCGGGTGGGGCTGGTGCCTGCACGTACCTCATGCCGTTCGCCCTTGTTCTCAGTGAGAAGAATGATGGCATCTGCCAGTGTGGTGGACTGAGCCTCGATCTGTTCCACCATCACCAAGCGGGAGCTGTAGATCGCCAGGATGTAGCTGGAGATGTCAGCAGCTGGGCATGCACTGCCAGTAGTAGGGCTGGAAACTGGTAGAGGTCGAAATAAGCAAGTGAGGCAGAATCAGGCTGCAGGGCCCCCTGTCCACAAGGGAGTCCCCACCCCCAAGAATCCCTACCCATCCTGCCATGTGGCCTTTCCCTCACTCAAGCATTTCCAGAGGCCAGCTTAGGAACATGAACTGCCTTCCTGATTGCAATACAGGCCTGGTACTTAGTCTCCAACACAAGCCAAGACTTGCATTCTTGAAAGGAAGTACAGAACTGTGCAATAGTAAAAAGCAGAAAAGTACATAAAAGGCCATCTAGAGAAGCCCCCACCTTCCCAAGTGTAAAATAAACTGGTCCCCGCCCCCTACACACAGGGGCATTCAGAGAACTTGGACAACAAGCTTCAAATCACTACATCCATTGTTGGTATTGTCTGCTCAGAAGGAAGTCCTACTGAGTTCAATGGGGCTTTCTCCTAGGTGATTGGGGTTAGGACTGCAATCTGCAAGAAGCCAATGTTTAAGCAATGAAGGCAAATTTCAAGTGAGAATTAAGGCTGGGGAAGGGAACCTTCCCCAAATGGGACTCCCAACTCTCATCTGTCCCCACCAGGATGGTCAAGAATGAAGGGAGTTTCAGTCCCAGCAAATTTTGGAGGATCACAGACTCCTTTGTTGCTTGAAGCTGTTCTGAAAACACAGGTGGCTTTTTCTTCGAACAGTGACCCCCACTTTTTTTAAACCCCTCCCCAAGCTCTCAGCAGGCAACCCTATTGCTGGAACTGGCAGCCCCACTGCCCTAGGAGAGTCAGAAGGAGACCCTGCCACGCAACCCTTACCTTGGCTTGAGGAGGTGCCTGTCACTGGGGTAGTCCAGTGGTTGAAGGCACAGCACACCACTGCATACTCGCCCGGCTCCAGCATGACATCACAGTTGACAAACTTCTTGACTGCCCGCTTGCTGTGCGCCATCAGGCGGCCCAGGCTGAGCTTGCTGCCATTGATGAAGGTGGCTCGGAAGACCATGATGCAAAGGTCCAGCAAGTGGCTGTCCACTGTGTCTGAGCGCCTGCCAAGGGAAAGGAGGGAAGGGGCCATGGCTCAGTGGGAAAGCATGCAGGAAGTGCCAGGTCCAATCTCTGGTGGGGCTGGGAATCAGTCTGTGGGAAACTGCAGCCAGTTGCTGTAGACCACATTGAACTGGATGGGCCAATTGCTAGACTCCTGGTATAAAGCAGTTCCCTACATTCCTGTGAAGTGCAGTGGAGTCAGAAGTCACTGCACAAGCCGCTGTACCCCACTCTCTTTCACCAAATAGGATAACACAAACAATATGGGGTGGGGGGCAAAAATATGGGTCTTGCTAGACTGCTGTCTTGGTAATAGTGGCTTGCAGAAGTGGCCTCACCATCGTTTCCATCGTTTCTTTGTTTAGAGTTTCTGTCTTCAGAGAAACATAGAATTGTAGATTTGGAAGGGACCCCAAGGGTTATCTAGTGGCAGAGAGAGAAGGATCCGAGGCAAAAAGAGGGTAGCCCTTCTGCTCCTTTAATAGCTGGTGAAAGCCTAGCTTCTCCAATGACACCCTGGGCAACAAGCTGCATCTTGCTGCACAACTATTCAGAGGTACAGACAGAGCCCAGCCTGAAACCCTGGAGGGTTGTTGCCAGTCAGTGTAGACAGCACTAAGCTAGATGGATCAATGGTGTAAACTTTTTAAGAGGCAGCTTCCTATGCTTCCTAGGTACAAGGGTCCTGCTTTCTTCTACACATCTGGCCACCCGAGAGAAAAAAGCAGGCAGGTGAGCATGTTAAAAAAACCCCAACATCCCATTACTTGGTCCGTTTGTAGCAGTTAAAAGTGGGTACTGAGTCTGAAAATCACAGAAACTAATGGCTAAAAAAATGCCTTTCACTATGAGGGATGGGAAGATAAGAGAAGAGGACTTGTCTATTGTAAGGACTCACAGGGGAGAGAGGCAGTGCATATCTATACATATATAAACACCACACCTTTCAATGAGAGCCAGTGTCATGGCTTGAGGACCAGATTTTCTCGGCAGTGCTTTACCTTCCTGATAAGTATTAAGTGGCAGCCTTTCACTGATACAGAAGGAAAGGGATGTTCTCAGGGCCAATCATTACGGCAGGGGCTAAACCTGTTCCATTGAGAAACAATAATGCCCCTATCTGTGTAGCCACAGTTATCCCATCTAGATAGCTGCAACCTTCATTCTGTTCCTTAGTCATGTTAGAGCAGGATGAATGGCAGGAAATGGCTTTTATGTTGAGAGAGGATAGCAGTGCCACCACCATCATGCCACGTGTCAGCTCAATAGCACAGTTGAGCTGGAACTGGAGATGGGACTAAACAAGAGGGGTCAATGCACAAGTGACAATTGCCAAGATGCAATGTAGAGTAACCAGGGTGATGTAAACAGTGTGCAAGAGCCTTGAATTTTTGTTCAGTGGCTGATGAGTGTGATCTGTGACCTCACCTGCTGCCTTCCTGGAAAAGGGCGAACTCCAAAGTTGCACGCTCCAGCACAGTCAGTGAGGTGACGGTAATGGGTCCACTGGCTTTGTTGGGAAAGGTGCCCTGCACACGAACCTCATGCCAGTCTGAATGGAGTTTGCAGATGTCCACTGAGTCGAAATACCTGGGCAAGGGAACAAGCAGTTGTCAACCCCAGAAGCAGCTGTAGCCAAGATCAGATGAGTCTCTTTTAGACAGCAATCAAGGCACCCCTGTAAAATCTTCATTGGTAATGGCAGTTTCTTGGGGGTGGCAGAAGGAGGACCATCTTTTTGTGGAAGAGACAGCTGTGTTGCTGTCCATCTTTCTCTTCCCTCTACACTAGGGTGGCAAACCTTTTCTGACCTGAGGACCAAGGGCAGAATGGAAAAGGGGGTAGTGCCACTCTCATACCCAGCACAGACAAAGCTCCAATCTGCTCCTCAACCAATAAGTGCCAATCAGCTGGAGGATGGAGGGAGGATTTTTCTCCCATCATAGCATGAACTGAAAGATTCTCCTCTCCTTCCAGGAATGTGCAGTAACATACTTTGCAACGGCCTTCTTGACACTGCAAAATTGCCTCTTTGTTCTCTTGCATGCCACTCCTGCTAACAGGTCAAGAGCGCTCTGCAAAACTGGAAGGAGCAATTCTTCCTGTTCCTGTTCCCAGAGTACTCCCACCTGCTTGAAATGAAGCACTCGGGTTCCCACATTCAGCGCCATAGCTGCAAATTTTGCCGGGAGCTTGAGGCCCACATTAAATGGCTTGGCGTGCCTGATTCTGGTCTTACACTTTTAAAATATTCTAGTTTTCTGTGGGGACGCGGGTGGCGCTGTGGGTTAAACCACAGAGCCTAGGACTTGCCGATCAGAAGGTCGGTGGTTCAAATCCCAGCGACGGGGTGAGCTCCCGTTGCTCGGTCCCTGCTCCTGCCCACCTAGCAGTTCAAAAGCACGTCAAAGTGCAAGTAGATAAATAGGCGGGAAGGTAAACGGCATTTCCATGCGCTGCTCTGGTTTGCCAGAAGCGGCTTAGTCATGCTGGCCAGATGACCCGGAAGCTGTACGCCGGCTCCCTCGGCCAATAAAGCGAGATGAGCGCCGCAACTCCAGAGTCGGCCACGATTGGACCTAATGGTCAGGAGTCCCTTTACCTTTACCTTTTAGTTTTCTGTGAGCTCCATCACAATAGAGGGAGAATGCACCGCCCCCAAAGAACTGGAAGCAAATTCAAACTAACAACCCACGAGAAGGACAGGGGCTGCAGAGCAGCAATGCTATTTTTCCATTAGGTGCTGTGTTGTTTTTTAAATGGAGAAGAGCAGCAGTTCTTGTTTCTCCCTAACAAGCCATGATCAGCAAGGTAACAATAAACCATGGCTTAAAACTGGCTAGCCATCCTGACTTGTTAGGGAGAAGCAAACCACAAACCCTGGTTCAGAAGGAACAGGTTGGTTTGTCCTGTTCACACCAGGGAAGGAGCAAAGCAGGAGTGAATGAGCAGTGCGTATGAGCACTCTGCTTGTACACAGCAAAGCATGGTAAGTCAGCAGTACGTGTGTCTGTGCCTTAGATCTGCATCAGAACCAGGAGGTCACATTCCAGCCAAATCCAAGCTTCTAAAGGCAGCAGAGCAAGGACCCAGAGACACAGGACAGTCTGTGCAATTTTGGCAGTACCTGATGAAGTCACTGTACTCCATCCAGAAGACCCCTTCACTGCTCCCGTGGGGCATCAGCTCATGCCGCAAGTGTGCCGGCCAGTGGGGCCATTCGTCAGACCAGCTACCGTTCCAGGAGAAGCGGCCCCAGGGGTTACGGAGTCGCAGGAGCCTGAAAGAAGCAGTAAGACAGAACTGAGCTTCTTTATTAAGGTTATGAAGTTCTACTCTGCCTGCTCTTAAAAAAAGAAACCCTAAAGAGGGCTTACAACAGAGCAGCATTCGTCAATAGCCACAACAGAGACATTTCTTCCAGAATAACAGAATCAGATAAATCAGGAAGTTAAATTGCTTAAAGTATGCAGGGATATAAACGGTTTTTATGAAGGGTGGAACCAGACTAAAATATTTTCGAATGAGTTAATTATTTTAGTTTCAGTTGATGAATCAATGATCAATCAATTGAATCTGAATGTGTGTCAAAACATTATATCTAGTGGACTTTATAGTACATTATAGTAGTGGACTTCATTTTTAGATTATGCATACATGCGCTGTAAAAGGCATCATCCTAGAAAAGCCATTCTCGCTTTAAAACAAATACAAATGTCATCTGCATTTATAATAAGAACTTCTAATTTGTTTTTTGCCTGCCCAATTAATTGAGAACCTGCTCAACCAATCCAGAATTTTTAAATGGATGAATCTAACAAATCAATCAACTAAGTTTGCAAACCTAGTTAGATTACATTTCCTGAAGATAACGAAGGGTAGGCTTTGACACCATCCTTTTGGGAAGAAGAGAGATCACCCAACACAGCTTTGGAATTCTGTTTGATTAAGAAGTGATGTAAAAAACCAACCTTTTAACTGACACACAAATGCACACAGGTCAGCAGAGGAGTGAAAAAAGAACCTGTCCCTGCTTTGAGGTCTAGTCAGTATGTCAGGCATAGATGGATGGTGGTTCCTGAGGCAGAGCTTCCTCTTTGAGACAGAAGGTGGGATGAGCACATATTGGGACAGGTGCTCATTCCCCACGGCTTGATGGGCCCAGGGAAGTGGTCTGCTTTGAAGTTTATAACCAGTTTTAACCCCAATCTCCAATGCTTCCTTAAATCATTTCCTGCTCATGCTCATGCTCATCTCTCTCACTCTCAGATGGCCAGACACAAAGGTCCAGCAGACCGTGCTATGTCTCATTACAGTTGCCAAGATGGAGCAAGAAAACACACTTTGCAATCTGGAAATTCTGAGGCCCTTTCACCTCTTTGCCTACCTCTCAAAATGATTTCACCCTGGGGAGGCAGGCAAAGAGCTAGGCAGGAGCACCGAAGTACCAATCTCAACACACCCTAAGCACTCTGCTTTGCCATGCTATTTTTACTAAGAAAATGTTTCGGTGTTTGCAAGAGTCACGAATTGGCTCCAGTGGGATAAAATCGAAATTGCAGAATTCATCAACAAACAATGATGCAGTATCTTGGGGAAGTTGTAATAGTATCTTACCCTATATTAAACTCCCGGCTCTTTTCTGGGAAATAGATCTGCAATATTCTTTAGTTCTCATACCTGCATCTTTCCTTAGTGTATCTCCATACGGCCTTACAGTGATGTTATGGGCAGATAGTTGAAATGAACAACAATCCACGAGTCAACATTTTAAATCAGATGTGGTGAACCTTTGGTCCTCCAGATGTTGCTGAACTACAACTCCCATCATTCCTGGACACTGGCCATGTTTTCTGGGGCTGATACGAGTTTTAGTTAAGCAACATCCGGAAGAACAAAGGTTCCTGTACACCTGCTTTAAACCAAACAAGCAGCCTGCCTAATTAGCCAAGAGCCATCAATCTTTTCTTGGCCATTTTTACCTGCACCCTTGCACATCTCGGACGTCCAATATGGAATACGCATGCCGTGGACGAAGGCCCATGCTTTCGTAGGCTGCATCATCCACCTTCATGTTGCCTCCTCCACAGGATGCACCCATCAGAAAGCTGAAGGATGGGAAATAAAAGGGAGTGGGGAGGGGTAAGAGAAACACAAGGCTTACATTACCTGGCTTAGCATCAGGAGTCAATGGGAGGATAACTGGGGAGCTAAAGTTATCTTAAGGTATGTATCACCCCACATGTATCACCCCAGCTGGAAAGGTTGTTAATGGCATGCAGAAACACAAAGCTAGTCTGCCATCAGGCTAAGGGCGGTACGACCACTACCACTACAAGATGCAGAGACTGCAGATGCAGGAATTGCTTGCGCTTTTTAGGACTGGTCTACACATACTGCAAAATGAGATGGCACAATCCTGGTATGGCAGAGTGGACTGTACCAGACTGCAAGGGGGAGAGGGAAGAGGGTGTCATTTCTTAACAATCCCTTGTTGCGGAAAAACTCCTTGCAAATAATTTATTTTGGGGGGCCAGCAGGAAACAGCATGCCGGGCTAAATTATTCTAATCCACTCCTTGCTGTGCTATTTTTCTGCTTGTAGAAGGTTTCCTTTACACACAGAAGCAATCAGAAATATGATCCTGTACCTATAGCCTGATTTAGGGCAATATTTTTTACCACTTGATTCTGTTGCTTGCGTAGACTAGGCCTAAGTTTCTGATTATAATATAATAATATAAATATGAGATTGGGCCTGAGTTTTTAGGTTAATTCATGATTTGTTTCATATCAGTAGTAAGGAGGGACTTTGGCAAACATGCCTTGCAGCTGATGCTTTACAGTGCTGCTAAAAGCTGGTAGCAAAAGCCTCCTTGCAGGAATGCCCAGTTCCCAACTGTGCACGTGACACCACTTTTGAGCCGCTTACACTCGGTTGTCCAGCCCCCTGCTCCCCATGCAATGACTACATGCAACATAACCCTCACCCACCTTCCTGCCACGCTCCTCCTCTGCCTCTGCAGTAATTGCTCAGCCTTGCACTCTCGGCAGGTGGAGCAAAGTGGGGAGGCGGCCTATATTCAGCAGCTGTTGCATGCAGAAGAATATTGCACACAGGCATAGAAAGCTGTGAATGGCAGGAGTTCTAACATTCGTATACTATTGGGTTGGGGCTTTAACAGTATGATCTTTTAACAGGGGCTCTGAATTAGGTCACATCCACACCATACATTTAAAGCACATGGCCTCCCCCCCCCCAAAAAAAAAATCCTGGGAACTCAACTGCTCCAGCTGAGAATTCAATAGTCCATGCAGCAGAAGCACAGAACAGAACAGCCTGGGGCTTCTCTTTTCTCTTGGGCTGACGGCACAGGCTGCACCTAGCTCTGAGTGTTCATGGGCATTTTAGACCGATACACAAAGCATCCCATGACACTAGCCTCTCCAAGGCAGCTCACCAGAGCAGTGCACTCTGAGATTTGCAGTCTATCTGCCGTTCCAGCTTACTAAGGATGAGGGTAGGCAGGGGGTGCATTTTACAGCAACAGGCCTCACTGGCCCGCCTTAGCTCTCTATCTTTGCTAGAGCCACAGCAGTAAGCTCAATGAAATTCCACTTTTCCCTCGGTCTAGATGCGGCCCGACCGGCCGCAGATGCCAAATCAGTCTTTACGCTCCTCACAGCTGAAGGGGAAAGCCCTCCCTCCTGCCTCGTCTTACCCAGCCTCCTTAGAACTCAGCATTTTGGCCCAGATGAGGTCAGTGTCAATGGGCTCCTCGCGAGGGTTAGTGGAGCTGACCTGCAGCATCAGGCTCTCGCAGGGGGCGCCGGTTAGCGTAGCTAGGCCTTCAATAGCGCGCCCTGCCTGGAGGGCAAAGTACGAACCATGGAGTTTGGCCAGGGCCTTCTCAATAAGGGCGACCCATAGCTGCTTCCTCTGGGCCTGGGGGAGAAGAACACAAATCAATGGCTGCAAACAAGGCTGTCGACCAACTTCAGAGTTCATAATTGATTATTTCTCTTTTAAAAGACTGTGTTAATTGCATTTAAATACATTTGCATGCTACAGATGGGCTAAGGGTGACCTTATCCGCCTACAGCACAAGCGTTAACAAGGGGTGGACACCCTTGGCTAGAGTTGTGTGTACTCTGCATGTAATTAAATGAAAACTTCGAGCCCAGGCAATCCAAGATCTATGCCAAGGAAAAGTGGATTTTGCAACTATATAAATTATGCAAACTGAGTGCAAATGCATAACTTATTCTGCTTTTTCAATGTTATAATCATAATATAGTCTGACATTGTTAAGTCATAGGAAGAGTAAGGAGACTTCAGCCATGTCGCTCAAACCCTTAAAATCTTATTCAGTCCTCTCTATGGCTCCTGAAATTTCAGTGTGTATTGTCCGAATATTTTTGTAGCATTCTTGTGCAGGATAAGAACTAGAAACCTTTTTAAAAAGCAAAACAAAATCAAAGCTGAAATTCTCAGGAAGCTAAATTCTGCACCCACCATTCACTCTTGTAAACCACATTATGAATTCAGCCCTCTCCTTGTTCTAGACCAGATGGTCAATCTGTGGCCCTCCAGATGTTGTTGGACTACAACTCCCATCAACCCCAGCCATTCCCAGTCAAACAACATCTGGAGGGCTGCAGATTTCCCATCTAAATGAACTTCTAAGCTGGAGACCCCATGGAGAGTCTTTTACAGGACATATAGCACAGCATCTCTCAGTTTGTTATAAAAGAGACACTTTCAAGCAACTCTGTTCCCAACCTCTGGCATATCCCCCTCTGTGGTTTCACCTGCTGCAATGGCTAGTGCTGGCCATATCAAATCCCAGCACCCACCTGAGAGAAGAGGAGGTAGCCACACTCATCACAGGGCAGCATGTCATCCACCAGCACAGTGGTCCAGGTGCCATCTTTGCAAAGCCGCACCTGATAGGCTCCCTCCGGACACATGGTCCGTGTAATCATGACCCGTTCCACCAACTCAGGCCTTTCTGCCAGCACAGCCAGAGCACTGAGGAACCTGAAAAAGAGGTGCCAGATGAAGCCAGTTAATACTGGGAAGGCTGCTCACCAGCAAGTCAATGACCACATTCAGATATCATTCTAGATCAGGCATAGGCAAACTCGGCCCTCCAGATATTTTGGGACTACAACTCCCATCATCCCTAGCTAACAGGACCAGTGGTCAGGGATGATGGGAATTGTAGTCTCAAAACCTCTGGAGGGCTGAGTTTGCCTATGCCTGATCTAGACTATGGTTTCATGAGATGTGCCTAGTCTCCTCCTGAACTCACACACTCTCCTCCTCTCCTTCTGTATGGCACTCACTCCTGCTTTCAGTTAACTGTAGCTTCCTGTGTCATCTGAAGCAAGAACTGTACTTAACATTTGTATTATTAACAACAGATAATAACAATCTACAAGGCACAGGAGGGGCAATGAATTATGCTTCAAAGTGAGAAGCTGACTTGCACTATCGTTCACCCGATGATTTTTGGAGGTATTTTCATCATACAAGATAAGAATTATACTTTCTTTTCCAAGAAAAATCAAATATATTCAGTGGCGGATTATATTATTACTTCTCCAGGTATTATTAAAGACTCTAGAGAAATAAAGAATGTTTCAATTTTGTATGCAGATCATGCACCAGTGAAATTTGAGTGGATCTATTTAAAAAATACTCAGATTGGAAGTTACATAATTTGATCTTACAAAATAAAGAAACTGCAGACAAACTGAGACTGTGTGTGTGTGTGTGTGTGTGTGTGTGTATAAACTTAGGATGAATGAAATCTTCCCCCGAACTATAATAAGGTATTCTTCAGATGAATTTGTATTAGCAGGTTGGAGTATTTCAAAAGAAAATCAGTAAGAAATTACAGTAAAATAGAAAAATCAGATGCATGACTCTCTCTCTCTCTCTCTCTCTCTCTCTCTCTCTCTCTCTCTCTCTGTGTGTGTGTGTGTGTGTACATGGTCTGCTGAACTGATCCATCGAGTTCATATTGGAAAGAGCAGTTACACTGGTGGCTGGTCTTCTTTGTTCTAGAGGTAGGAGTAGCTAATGTGTCTTCCAAATGCTGGACTCCAGCTCCCATCAACCCCATCCAGCATGGGTAGTGGCCAGGAATAATGGGAATTGTAGTCCAACAAAGTTTTTGAACCCCTCAAAACGTTGATCTGTGCCGGATGTGTGAGAAACAGGGCTTCATAGGTTTATGTTTGTTTACTGATTAACAGTATTTGTATATTGCCTAACAACCTGACGTTCTCTAGGTGGTAAACAACTAAGGCAAATAAATGAGCATACCCTAGGAAAGTGTTTTTTAAAGTGTTTTTTAAAAAAATAAAAATAGATGCATGATTGCAAAATTTAAAAAGTCATAGGCTACAGGGAATAATCACTCTAAAGGCTAATTTTTCACCAATTGCGTGTGCAGACCACAATGAATTGATTTTTTAAAAAAATTCATAACATGGCACTACTAACTGAAAAGTTTCCAACTCTTAAAAATCCTTATTGGAGTCATATTTCCCCTAACAGCTGATTCTACTGGATTCTGAGGTTTCATCTACTGACACCCACAGTTTCCAGTGATACTGAGCTGCAGTCCTCCAGTATGGGCAAAAGTGAGGGATGGTGGGAGCTGGAGTCCACCAGGTGACCCACTTTCACTTATACCACCCTTTGAATTTAGTAAGCAATTTATTAATCCATATCTATGGACTGCAGCCCATCCCCAGGAATCAGTATGTACCCCTCCAACCAGAGCCCATTGCTTCTGGTATCCGGTTAGCATCATTCCACCAGGAAGGGGCAATATGACAACGTGTTAATGGCTTTCAGACCTCTGGGGAATCCTGAGAAGCTTATCAGAGTTCAATGAGAATCTATTTGACTGATTCATCTTCAGGTTTCCAAATCATCTTACAACAAATTACAACAGAACAAAATAAAACAAGAGCATTACAACAAGATGATCATCAAACACAGACAAGATTAATCGAAAGACAGCCTGTCTACTATAACCTACCTTGCTCAGTCATTGTGTAGCCGCAGGTGAGTGATGGGTGCAATTCTGGAGCACCTATTTTCATTTGACTTGGCCAGCATTCTGCGCAAATCGAGCGTGTACCTTAATATATAGTCTAGAATCTATGTCAGGGTTTGTGGCAGGCATGCAGAGTTCCTTAGCAGACACACTGATGTGGAAAGTGTTCTCTCAAGGCTTGAAAGCTTGACAGCCTCCAACAGAGATTATTATGGTTCATATTTTAAACAGAGGAATGTGGAACTGTGATGCAGGCCATGCTACTGGCCTGCAAGAATGACCCCAGAGGCTTTCTTTTCACTCCTGTCTTCCCTAGTAATGCACGCATGCAGGAAAGTACTGCAAGGCCCAACAAGCCCGGCCAGCAGCCCACATGAATGCTGTCCATGCTCTATAACAGTGTTATCCAACCTTGTACCCCCAGGTTATGTTGAACTCCAGCTCCCAACAGCCAGCATGGTCAATGGTCAGGGATGATGGGAGTTGTAGTCCAACGTGATCTGGGAAACACAGTTGTAGAATATGACCCCATGAACCTTTGGAGCACCTCAGCAGATTGATCACTGTGAAAAATGCTGCTTGAATTATAACATGTGAAAATCACAGGGCTCGAAAGATTTAAATGTGATGTACATGTGCACATGCTAAGTACAGTCCCGCTCATGAGAAACTTTTCCATTGAGGTCCTGGCTTTGTAGCTCATCTTTTAGCTCTAAAGTGATCTGCATGCTGTCCCTGCTGAGGCGGAAAGCTCCTTTATTCTTGCTGGGGAAAGGTGGTTGGTTTTTTAGATCTCTCTTGCATGCCACCAGGGGGCAGCCAACATCTGTAGTCAGCAGAAAGAACGAAAGCTCTGAAAGTAGAAATGTAAAGGCCTTGGGGTGTCCTCCTACTCTGTGCTGGGAAGCCGGCTGAGCTGGCTGCAAGTGCACCTGCCAGAATCTTGTGTCAGGATCTATCAAGTCCAGACCACACACTCTGCTCGTGCACAATGGCCATTAGCAATGGGGTTCCCACATATCTTAATTCCCCTTAAAAGTCACAGTTGAATCTGATTGCCCTCAATTCTTACCAGCAATTTCCCAGGAGCCCTTGCAGGATGTCAGAGGGCCGAGGTGTCCGGAAAACAGACCACTTGACTGAACGGTCCTTGAAGATGCTGCAGTTGATTTCATGAGGCCTCAGCCACTGCTTCACTCGCTGCTGGACACTGTCCCCTTCGGGGAAGCCAACTGACTTGGGCCCTGGAGGGAAACTGTCATCCACAAAGTTGACCTTGTTCTGCAGATACAAAAATTAAGAAGCCCAAGGGCATCCTTGTTACTGATATTCAGTTCCACATGAAAGCAGGGGCTCCTGCAGCAACTGTTGGACACATGCTGGCAGTCTTGCTTTAGAGACATGCAGGTCCCATCTGCACCATAGACTCAGAGCAGTACTATGCCACTTTAAACAGTCACAGCTTCCCCCAAAGAAATATGGGAACTGTAGCAGAGGGTTGTTAGGAGATCCCCATTCCCCTCAAAGCTACAATGCCCAGTTTCCTGAGAAGAAGGACTGACTGTCAAATCACTTTAGGAAATGAAGGTCTTTTGAGAGGAAAAGGGGTCTCTTAACAACTCTTAGCACACTAAAACTATGGTTCCCAGGATTCTTGGAGGAGGGGGGAGCCATGACTGTTTAAAGTGGTATGATACTGCCTTAAATGTAAAGTGCAGATGGGAATTCAGTTCATTCCAACTTTCTTTCCTGTGCATATGCTAGAACAAAAGGTGGCAGGTCAATGTCTTTCTCAGTTACAGGTCAATGTCTTTCTCAGTTCCTGCTATCTGAGGACTAGGCTGCACATTGAGGCAGGCATACAGTGAGTCATACCTCTGCCCACTAAAGGGGATGAAACTGCCAACATCCTTTCCTTGATCAGCACCCATGGGGGCCTCAGCTGATGAAATACGAAGGTAAACAGGCAAGTGAGTTAAGCACCTGGGCATGCTCAGTAACAGGGCGAGTAGCCCAGTACAGTCAACCCCTTCTCCCCCTTAAATCTGTCAAAGCTCCACTTTACATGTAAGCAAAACCAAGGAACAACTGCTATGAAGGCAGAATGCCCTGAATATCAATTACTGGGGAGCAGCAGAGGGAGAGGGCTATCACCCTCATGCCCGGTTTGTGAACTTCCCACTGGCATCTGGTTGGCCACTGCGGGGAAGAGGAATCTGGAGTAGAGAGGACATTGATCTGATCCAACTGCAGGGTTATTCTTACGTTAAACAGTGAGACTTAGACCTGGGACAGTTCCAGGCAGGTGACTGAATACTTGAATCCTCCAGTATAGCCCCGTTTTCATATTTTCAAGCTTAGCTCTGCAGTGACGCAGGCAAGACATTTTAGCTCAATATAACCCAGTTTTGTACCAAGCAATGCAGGTATGTGACTTGTGTACATTTGCTGTTATGCAAAATATTCTGCTTTGCACAAGAATGGAGAAGGTGTCCTACAGAGCTATGAAATATGGCTTGATTACTGGGAAAGCCAAATTAGCAGCCTGTCTGGCTTCTTCGGTTTTACTAAGCATGGTTCATGCACTTGTCTCCAACAATAAGGGCTAGAAACTTGATTTATTTATTAGAAGTGGGGGGGTGGAGAATGAGATTCTTGGGATGCTGAGTTCTGCATTGTTTGTTCAGGTCACAGAATGCAAAAGTCCCTGATCGTATCCGTATTCAGAAATAGTGATTAAAAAGAATGTGTCAGAGTCAGACAACCTGATCTGTTCCCCTTCAGCTGCTGTGAAGAGAACTGGAGATCAGCATCCATGATTCCTCGCTTTGCAGGCTTCCTGCAATACATTTCTTCTAGTTAGAGGAAAGGTCGTCATCCTACACACACTTATTTGGAAGGAAGTCATTTTGAATTCAGTGAGACTTGCCTTGAAATAAATGTGCAAAGGAGGACTGTACTGCACAGTTGGCTTCTCTCCCTTCCCCTCTGTGCTGCTGTGTCCAGGCAGCAGCCACTGAAGCTCCCTCAAGCTTCAAACCTCCCAGCAAATTTCTGCCCCAACAGCCTGTTCTCAGTGCTCGCTGTGCTACCATTGCCAAGGCATGCGCCGGGGTCAGATGCTCCCTTGAGGTCCCTGAATTACAATGTGATTAATGCTGAAGGCTCTCCCAAGAAAGAAGCAGAGATGAAGGGATGGCATTTCCCAAAGAAACATGGAAAGAACATTAGCAAGCTAGAGAAGAACTGAGACTAAGTCGGGGAGAAGTGTGGATCTATTGTGTGTGTGTGTGTGTGTGTGCGTGCGTGTGTGGGCATCATGCAAATCCCTGGCAGCCAACAAACTGCCTCTCTTTTAGGGGACCAACCACTGGGGCTTCCAGTTCCAGAGTCTGGATACTGATGCTTCAATACAAATCTGTCCTCCACAGCAGAAGACGGGCAAACTCAGGACAAAGTACAGACTTGTCTACTGCCTCAGAGTGGGCTTTCTCATGTACATGTTTCTCAAGGCACATGATTCTTGAACTCCTTGGTGCATGCTACAGTGATAAGCTGCAAGCACAAGATGTTCCCTCTGAAGGGCTCATACTCATATTAGGCCTGAGGGCAGGTGGCTAAGACTGAGCTGAGAATCAGAAGCCTCCTGTTTGAACCTCACCTCTGCCATAAACTCGCTAGATGGCCTTTGGCAAAACATTTTCTTTCAGTCTCAAACCTGTCACACACACACACACAGCCCCATTCTGCAATAGAAGGACAGCACCACAGACTTACCTGATAGAGCTGTTGTAAGGAAAGAGCTTGGAGTAAATTGCTTTGAAATTTTCTAGACAGAGTTTTCAGCTGCAGTAGCTTGTGTATGAAAACACTCTTCCAAAAGAAGCTTATCTGGCATCCATTGTTTTGTCTAACTGGTACCTCCCCAAGACATTTTTATTTTCCCAGGCCTACGTGAAATAGCTTTATCTGCTATGCTTTAAAAAAAAACAACGCGCTGATATTCTCCACACTGTTTTTCCTTTTGTGTTTATTTATTGTGATTTTATATTGACGCATTTTTAAAAATTATTTTCTTCATTGCTGCTTTCACAATTTTACCTAAGGGTAGCCTAATAACATCTTAAATTAAATAAATATATATATATAGACTGTACTTTAGCAGTGCTGCATGCAAGCAAGCAAGCAAGCAAGCAAGTGCACAGGAGCTGTGCCACAACTACCCTCACCCCAATAATACACAAAATTGGAACGAATCCCTCAAGTCACTTCAGCACATGAAGATCTGTTCTTCTCAGCACCTACAAAGACCTTCCTCTTCCAACAAGTCTTTGAAGTAGGTATCTTTCGCAGCCTGCATCTTTACTGGAATTGTTTTTAGATGTTTTAATTACTGTACTGGTTGTATGTTTGCTGCCCTGAGCTCCTTTGGGAGGAAGGGCAGGATAGAAATTTAATTAAATAAATTAATAAAATCTGGGGGAAGAGAGAGAATAGATTTTGTGCTTCAGCAAGAATTGGGAGCTGGGGTGTGTGTGTGTGTGTGTGTGTGTGTGTGTGTCAGGGTTTGAGGGAACGCAATGAGGGAACATCACACACACACACACACACACACACACACACGGAGAGAGAAGGCCTCCTCTATTCTTTGGCTGGAAATTTGGATGCCCTGCATGAAGGCCACCTGCTGTGCCTGTGCATTGCTCCCTCAGAAGTCTAACACGATTAAATTTCATTTCAGGCACCCGCTTGATGTGGCTTCAATCACCACAGGCCGCTCAGAAATAAAACAGCACTTGATCATTAAAGCCACCGCACAATTAGTTATTAATGAGCGTGGCGAGTGGCCTTTTCCTGAGGCTGCCAAGCGGACCCAGAGGACACCTGTTCTTGCTAATTATACAGGGTGAAATCCCGAAGTTCTTCCTTGGGCTGAGCACCCTTTCACTGCATTCTTTAAAAGAGCACCTCAGGGGTTCGATCTCTGGATGGACTGACCCAGGGCAGAAGGAGGAATATTCCTGGTATGAACATGGATCAGTTGCTAGATAGAACTTAAACCCAATTCTCCTAAAGTGCTTTGGGTATTGCTGCTTATTTCAGGGCCAGAACATCACAAAGATGACTGATCATTGAAAGCCTGCATGCCCGTTAATGACAGTGTCTCACTAGGGGCCCAGGTTCAAATCCCCACTCAGAATGGAGCCCATTGATGCTGCTTTGAGTTCCTTGGAGGAAAATGCAGAATATCAATGCAATAAATTAATAGCTCATAAGTAGGAGCAAGGAGACTAAGCACTTCAGGTGCTTCCTTCCCCCCCCCCATCCAAAAGATATTAAAAGCATGAGAAGATTTGTCAAAGACAACAAATGCAGTCTGTAAATATGAAACGTGCAACTGAAAGCTAAATAACAATAGCAGATACGAATAAAAAACAATGAATGTTAGTTGATGGCGCTCAAGTATTAAAAAATGGCCAATACAGTAGGTAGTAAGCAAGACCAGATAGGGCTGCTACACCAGCTCTCAAAGGATCTTCAAACACTCTCCTTGGTCTACCGGAGAACACGAAAATATGGAACACATGGAGATCACACACTGAAAACTCAAGAGTTTTGCCCAGTCCTCCTCTGCACCAACTTCTAAGATTTCAAAGAGCACTGCCTATGTCTTTTCCTGCCTGTCTACTGAGTACCCACAGGTCTGGAAACTTACTTTGTATAAATAAAAAGGACTTCTCTTTTGGATACAAACTTTTCCATGGTGTAATGACAGGCAAGAGGACACTAAGAGAAACTCACCTCTTGACAGAAGGAGACAATGTTTTCCCAGAGGGCTTTGGCCTCCCCTTCATCTGTCTGCCGCCGCTTCTCCACGTGCATACTCTCCCGGCGCCTGAGTGGCTTGGCGCCCTTGCGCTGCAACAGGTACCCCTGGGGAGTGTGGCAGGCGACACAGTGCTTGGCCTTGAACTCATTGAGCAGCGTGCAAGCTGGGCAAGGCCACTGGCTGGGCCTTTCTGGGGTGACAGGTGGCTGCGAGGGGAAGAGGCGGGCCACTTTGCGGGCCGAGGGGGCCTTAGAGCTGCAGGATGGGCAGCTGCCTTTGTCTGAGCCACACTCAGGGCATTTGAGAGCCAACTCTCCCTGTGCGCCGTGTTCCTGGAAGCCATGCAGCTTGGAGGAGCCGCAGGCCTTGCACTTCTGAGAGGCTGTGGGGTTCTTCAACGTGCACTTGGAACAGGACCAGGTGGTGAAGTCGGGGCTGGATGGACCGCAGGGTGTGAAGCGCACAGAATCGCCAGTCAAGTCAATGGTGTCACTTCCCTTCTGGGAGCTACAGGCCTCACAGGCACCGGCTCCCGAGGTGTTGAGGAGGGAGCAGGTGCTGCACTTCCAGGGCGATGGGCTCACCTCCATTTCTTCTTCCAGCACGCTCAGCCGCTTTGTCGCCATCAGCTCCTGGAAGCGAATGGCCTTCTGCACAGGTGCTGGTGGGGAGGCCGGCTGGGAGGTCTCAGGCACCGGCGGCTGCAGCTGGGGGGGCACCTCTCGGCGGCTGCGGGGAACGGGGTTGTTTTGGAGGCCGGGGGAGAAAAGGCTAAAGCTTGGCATCTTCTGGCTCTCTTGCTCAATGGTGGGTGCACCTGGGTTGGCAATGGGATGGCTCTCGGGGTTGTCTGTAGCAACGCTGGGCTGAGGGGTGGTGGGTGCTATGTGGAAGCCGGCAGGAGCAATGACTTCAGGGACGACCAGCGCCTCTGGGGGGATCTTGGGCAGCGAGAGCTTGCGGGGGCCTCCACAGGCCGAGCACGAGTTGGCCATTGGGGTGTTGTGAAGAGTGCAGCGCTGGCAGGCCCAGCCATCCTCCAGCCCCACTTCCTCCGGGCTCTTCCCCCCAGAGTCCTCACCAGGGCTCTCGGCCTTGGGAAGTTCCTCCTTGCAGGTGCCCTTGGGCTCCACCAAGGCGGTGGGCTTTGGCAGGACTCCGTTGATGATGGGCAGCGGGGAGCCCCCAGGCCCAGGCTCAGGGGTGAAGCCACACACCTCGCAGGCCTCTTTGCCCAAGAAGTTCCGGAAGGTGCAGCGGGCGCAGGCCCATTTCTGCTCTTCTACACTGAGGCGCAGGATTTGGTTGAGGTCGGGCTTCTGGCGCGGGGCCTCGCAGATGGAGCATTGGCGCTGTCCTACGGGGTTCAGGAACGTGCAGCGGGTGCAGGACCATTCCCGCACAGCGGCCATAGAACCAGAAGAGTGGGTGTGGCTGCAACAGACAAGAAAGAAAGGCAACCATTACTTGACATCGTAAGATGGGAGCAGCGGGAAGTGTGCTTCCTGCTACTTACAGCATGGGGTCACCCACAGCATGCCCATGGGGGCAAGGGTGCCCCTGAGTTCTTCTCCTAATGCCTACAATATCTCTGAAACCGCCCCGCCCCACAACAGCCCCTTGGATCATGAGGTGGTGAGGATACTTATGTTCTTCCCTTGGAAAAAATACCAGCACTTTCTCACTTCCTCTTTCAGTTCTATGCACTTTCTTAGGCTCTGATTAATTATACTGAAGTGTCCAGAGGGGGTGGCAATCACAGCATTCATCCCAAAATCCACATGTGCCCACAGGCCTAGGAAAGTTGGCAACTCCCAACTTACAGAATGGGATCCAGACTAGATGTTCCTTTGAGATCAGGTGGCCTTCTGCACGCAAAGCATGTACTCTAACTACCAAGCCATGCGACAGATCCACTTGCCTGCCAGGCCCTTGTTTCAGGGCAATTCCTGCACTGCTCTTTGCACTCATGGAACACACAGGAGCTTGCTAGGTCAAGGAGGGACAAACTGGAAGCATCTGCCCTTCCTTGCCCTGCAAAGAAGCAGCAGAGACAATCTCTCTTACACAAATGGCAAAATCTGCCCTGGTTAAGTCTGCACTTCTGCCTTGCCAATTCAGAGGACAAAGCAAAAGAAACCAACTATACTTTCAAGTTATCAGCTGTTCACCATGCATGGTAAGCAGGCTGCTACCTTACCCAACTGTAGCAGTTTTTCTTTATTGCTAACTTTTACCAGTGACGCACTTCTAGGGGCATGCTTGTAGTGGGCAAGTAAAGAAGTGCTGCCCTGCTTTGTTTTACCCCCATTCTGAGAAGGAAATAGGGTAGCCACAGTCGAAGAGTACTTAACATGCCTAGCAGCCAGCATCAAGTTGTTAAAAGCCAGCCCAGCAGAAATCTGAGCAAACATCAGATCATCAAAGTACAAATGTATAAATATCTGGGCTTGTTGGATCCCAAATTCAATACTACTTCACATTTTCTTTGTCAGTGCTAAAAAGAATAGAGGAAATTACCTTGGGCAGACTATCCATTGCAAACTATTTATATCCAAGACAAGGGCTTGGATAGTGAAAGAGTTAATCCTTGGCTCAGAATTGTCCACTCACTTTACTGTTTCTTTTGGAAAAGGATGTAGTTCAGGGGTAGAGCACTTGTTCTGCATGTGGAAAGAAGTTTGGGGTTCAATTCCCAGTATTTGCTGGAGGAAGTGGGAAAGATCTTCATCTGAAAACCTGAAGAGTCTCTGCCAGTCAACATAACGTAGACAATGCTAAATTGAACCAGCTGTCTGACTCACTAGAAGGCAGCTTCCAACATTTCTATATACCACCAAAAAAATCTGCACTTAAATTTGCACAGTATGTCTCTAGAAATCAGTTTATGGGGGTCAGAAAGTGGCAATTTCCAGACTAGACTCGGCCCCTTAAGACGAGCCACTTGGCCATTAGCTTGCCAAGCCCTTTCCCCCTATGGAAACAGCTGAAGGAGGCAAGAGAGCACAGGAAAGAGTATCTTTTTCTTCCTTGATTCTATCTCCTTGTCTCCACCTCCCCCCACAAGGGCTCTCGGCCAGCAAAAGTAACCATAGAATGACATTTCAAAGGTTTTTAGCCCTGCTTCTTCAGTGTGCGCATTAGCAGAGGGGTGATTTTGGGGATCAGCTCTCTAGGGTTTCAAGGCCTGAGTCTTTCCCAGCCTATCAGGTGATGCTAGGAATCAACACTGGGTCCTTCTGCATACTGAGGAAGGTCTGTGACTGCGGAAGGTCTATGACTCTGTAGGTCCCAGGTTCGATACCCTGTATCTCCAAATAGGACTGGAGAAAATTCCTGTCTGAAACCGTGGAGACCTGCTGTCAGTCGGCCTAAACCACTGGTCAGAACTCCCTAATGGGGTCACGGCCTGATCCAAAGAGGGCCACAACAGGAAAACTACCACCATGCATATATATGGTAAAGGATTAAGAAATGGGTCCCCAAATGCATGTGTGAATTAAAAGTGGGTCCTGGGTCTGGAAAGGTTGAAGATACCTGACTTAGACAATACAGAGCTAGATGAGTCAATGGTCTGACTTGGTATAAGGCAGGTTCCCATGTTCTTGTGAGAAAGCCACACTGCTGCAAGATGCATAAGGTCGCCTGGAGTCTCCCACACCAACCATTGCAGACTTGAACCTAAAACTTCAGTGCTTTGTCAAACGAACAGCCTCAGCAGTGGAAATTAATTGTGTTCACAGAACAACAGTCAGTGATCTGTTTGGAGGGGGCGGTGGTGAAGGGGTGAACCAGTTGTGCACTTGGCATCAGGTTATGCAGTCTCCCACCCTTCCATTCATTTCATCCTTCTTGTTGTCATTGCCCTTCTCCTCACTCTGCTGCTTCCACAGGACTCCTCTCCCTCCCCTCTTGTCTCCAGCTGGCCAATTATTTTTCAAGCCCTGGGTTGCTGCTGTCCTAGTTACAAGGACATCGCTGCCTGCCATGCGCACCCTGCCTGATGTCTGACTAGCAGCAAGGAAGGAATGGCAAGGGGAAGTCCCGAGATGCACACTCCACTCTGCCTTGGTTATGCTAGGACACAGTCTCAGTTTGCTTTCCTCCATCAGGGCCTAAGCCGAAGTGTGGCTAAAACATCCAGCTAACTGCAGAAGACTCAAGGACCATCAGGTGAGCCCACTGAATCAGCCTCCCCCAACTTGATCCATTCCTTTGGCCGGGTTCACATGAACAGCAGCAAAACAGGATCCCCCTGCTTCTCTAGAGTTATTTCTGCTTGATGTCAATCATAGCTGGCAGGGTACAGCAGGCATCAAATGCTCCTGTGATTCAAACCTAACATTTTAGGTCAACCTTCCCCAATCCGGGGCCCTTCCACCAGTCTCAACCAGTAAGGCTGAGGAAGTCTGTTTTACACCATTACAAACAGAAGTATTGGTGGCAGCTTGGGGGGTGTGTGTGTGTCCCTCCAAGGGTCAGTGCTTTGGACAAGGCCAGGAGTTATGACCCAAACAAGCTGCCCTTCCTTAGTTTTGCAAAAGTCCAGATTCTAATTCTGGCTTGCATCCAAGATTAGTCATACTCAGAGTAAAGCCATTGAAATTAATGGGCATGCCGAACTTGTGCCCCTGTCTTTCCTGTATTAAATTCACTGATGGTTAGTTAAAATATTAGAGTGAGAAGGCCATACAGAGTGCTAGTGGTAGCAATGCGGCTAAGGGACTGAGCTATAAATCAAGAAGTCCCTGGTTTGAATCCTGACTATGTCATACGACTCACTGGGTGGCCTGAGGCAAGCCATTCTCAAGCCTCTCCTTCCATCTGCAATGCAGGGAATCATGGACTTACCTTACAGCAGTGGTTCTTAACCTTTTTTGTGCCAAAGACCCCTTCAAGAATCTGATTAAAGCTATGAAATCCCCCCCTGCCCCATCCACAAAGCCAATTGTCAAAGTAACAGGAAGAAAATAGTATTTGTGAACTCTGGGGGGAAAAATCTTCTAAGTGAACGTGGACCTAAAGTTAAGAACCCCTGCCACACATGATCACTGGAATAATTACAACTAGATAGCACCCGTGAAGCACCTCATACACTTAAACATAGTATGGAAACATTAAGCAATACAAAGCAATACAATAATGTATGGTGCAGACCACATTTTCCTCCTGCTGCAGCTTCTGAAGTTTACATTGTTGAAAGCCACCCTGAATAAGGCATAGGCCTAGTAGAGCAGGACATATATTTTAAAACATTAAATAAATAAATACCGCCTTAAGCTCCCTAGCAAATGTCAATACTAGAAATCACAGCCATGAAAAACATTTCTGATCTATAAACAAGCCAACCTACAGGAACGTAACAGGGAAACAGGTATATTCACAGAACAAAAACAGGAGCAATAGAATATGTTATCCTCTTTCTTCATACAAACAAAAAGGAACTGGATTTCAGATGAGGTGTCCAGTTTGAGTTTTGATTCCCTCCCTCTATCCCCCACCTCAGCGCTAGGCCTGCTAGGCAATCCTCTCAAGAACCAAAAATTATAGCTTGCAGTTTAATGCCATGTAGCAACCGCAGGTGCCTTTATAATCCAGATTATCTGACTTTTTTTAAAAAAGTGTTCTGTTATTCTGGATTCATCCTGCAACTGTCCTACCAAAGTAATAACAAAGGTGAGAATTCAAAGTTAACACCACTACTACTTTACATATTTCCCAAATCAGCCGTGTTAGCTTGGTAGCAGACTTAAAAGCAAATTGGAATTTGCAATTTCCCAGTGAAGGGAAGAGGTGTCATGATCTCACTCTCATGTTACACCGCTGCTACTAGCAGTTCATGTTTAGCTCAAGTCGGCTGATGATTAGAACTGGCCCCACAGATACAACAGAGGAAGCAACAGTCAAAACATGCAGACTCAGATTAGGTAGAGCCAGCTACTTACAAACCCTTTATACTTCCAGACATTTGCTAAGATTCTCAGGAAGCCAAATTCCACAGGTCATGAAGATACTGAGCACTGTCCAGTTACTATGGCACAGGTTTTCCTCTTTGTGCCAGAAGGGAGAGCATCTCTGAGTATGTGCAGAAAGCTCTCGCCTCACCCTTCACAATCAGCTCACATGCATCTGGGATTAAAGCAGGTCTTTCAGATGACTTCTGATGGTTCACTCCCTGCCTCCAACAACTTGTTTTAGAAGTAAAATGTTGCCTTCCTGTGACCGCCCTGTTACACTTCCTTGCACAGGAACTCAGAAAACCAAAGACTAAAAATACTCAACACCAAAGGGCATCCAGAGGTTCAGCTGAGAACTTCTGAAGGTGGCACTATTTCTTTGAGGAAGGGTGGCTCTTCCAAACTTTGGTCTTTTGTTCTTTCTAGCGATTAGTCTGTGAAATTGAAAGCCAACCTTAGAAGACAAGAAGAAGGGTAAAGATTCTTCCCAAATTCAAACAACAGGCTAGGAAATGTACAGGAACAGAAAAAGGTAATGTAGTAGGGGGGAAAGTCTGCAGAATGTCAAGATGAGTCTTGCTTTTTGCAGTAATATATGTACCATAAGAGGACAGCAAATTAATTGCTGAGATGATTCCTAGAAATTTAGTAGGTTGGTGTTAATTTGGCACTGTCGGCTATGTCAGAACACATGTCACCAGGCAGCAACCACAACTAATCTGCATATTTCAGATGCATGTAATTAATGTAATTTGCATACTATCTTCAATGGCATGGCAGGCATCATAAACAATTGGTGGGTGTTACATTTATTCTATAGCATTTATATTCAAGAAGGCTCGTCTGCCACTAATGTGAAAAATATGAGTCAGGCATTGACAAATGGAGACCTACTGTGAATTTCAGCTTATTTGTAATTGCTTCCTTGTGTTGACACCATATTTTAAAAACTTGTTTCCACAAGCATGAGAGCTAGAGACTTGTGTTTTAATCTGACTGTAAACCAGAAAAGAAATGATTCCAAGCAGGGCACCATACAGAGTTTGTTACTCACCCTAGTCTATTTGAATTAGGGTACACAGTTTATTTGGTTTTTATCTCCAATTATTTCTATCTTGCTATCTAAGAGGTAATCAAAGCTGCTAACATGAATTTATAAAAACACAAATAAAGACAAGTAAAATTAAAAAGAAAACTGGGTTGTTGCAAGGATCAAATGGGGGCAGATCATGTATAGGAAAGATGTGATAAAAATGAAATGAAATAATAAATAGTTCAAAAATCTGAAGACAATTCAGCACATTAAAATAAAAAGTTTGAAATGACTATAAAAAGGCTTTCATATCCTGCTGAAAGGGCAAGTAAACCTCCCTCAGGGGGACATTCCATAGCTTTGGTGCCACAGCTGAGAAGACCCTGTCCACCATGCTCATCAGCCACACCTCTGAAAGCAGGGGGAGACAGAGTAGGCTCTCCAATGATTGCTCAATTATTCAGGTAGGTTCTGATAGAAGAAGCTACTTTTCGAGATATCATGGACCCAGAGCATTTAAGGATTTACAGATCAAAACCAAAATTTTTAACTGAGCCCAGAAACAAACTGGAAGCCAATTCCACTGTTCGCTGCAGATGTGGGAGTTTCAAAACTCTCATAGTTCTCCCATTCACTTCAGTGCAAGGGCCAGTTCTAGGCATAGAGCTCTTCTTTCCAATGATGTGAATGGGGATGTGCATAAGAGCTCTGTATAAGCACAGAATCCCAGTGTTATCAGATGTGGGAGGGGCAAAAACACTGCTCCAACATGCAGGGGATGGGGAGTGAGGAATGAAATACATAGCTGGGGCAAAAAAAAGCTGAGAATTTCTACAAAAGCATAAGTCCTTCAAAATTACCGTATTTTTCGCCCTATAGGGCGCACCGGCCCATGGGGCGCCCCTAGTTTTTTTGGGGGGAAATAAAGAAAAAAAATTTATTTTCCCCCCAGGCGCGGGGGAAGCCCGAGCTTCCCCCGACCCCAGCCCCCAGAACAGGTTGCTATCTGCAAGCCTAGGGAGCCCGGCGGGAACTCCTTCTGGGCTCCCCAGGCTTGCGGATATCTGCCCGAAGCCCCAGGCTTCGGGATGCAGGCTGCTATCCCGCCAGGCTCCCCAGGCTTGCAGATATCTGCCCGAAGCCCGGGGCGCACTTCTCAGCGCACCCCAGACTTTGGGATGCAGGCTGCTATCCGCAAGCCTTGGGAGCCCGGCGGGAACTTCCCAGGCTTGCGGATAGCTTCCTGAAGCCTGGAGAGCGAGAGGGGTCGGTGTGCACTGACCCCTCTTGCTCTCCAGGCTTCAGCGAAAGCCTGCATTCGCCCCATAGGATGCACACACATTTCCCCCTCATTTTTGGAGGGGAAAAATTGCGTCCTATAGGGCGAAAAATACGGTAACTACATTCTGATAGATTTTGTTCTTTTGCTTCTTGCTGATTTCCAGCAATTTTCTAAATTAGTATTGTATTGTATGTATTATTATTTTCTAAATTATTAATTATATTATTAATTTTATAACTTTAAAAGTAAAACTCATAAAGGGATTATTCTAGATGGTGCCAAGGTCACATGTACCAACAAACTACCTTGGGGGGAACCTCTTCAAAATTTGTGTGTCCAAGGGTCTTGCAGAGCTGGCTTGGACAATTTGGTGATAAAGCAAAAGCAGATACAAAATCTGGCAAGCTGGTGACAAAGCCTGAGAACTGGAAGAAGCAAGAGAATTGTCTGAAAATGCAGTGATAACATGCTGCCAGGAGGATGAAGATAATTTTAGGATTGCAAGAGAGGCAGGACAGTTATTGGGTTAATTAAAACGTACGTGTGTGTGTGTGTGTGTGTGTGTGTGTGTGTCTTCCACCAACCCCCCACTTCCACCCACACAATTTATTCAGGGGGAAGGTGGGGGAGAGCATTTGTGTTTGCTTTCTCAAAAGGAAGATTTGAAAATTCCCCAAGTGCTTGAATCAGTAGGAATTCAAGAAGAGAGTGAGAAGGGAGAAATATTCCTCTAGAATATATCCCTGTCTGATCTCTGGCTCACAGTATTAGTAACAACTTCTGAGTGCTGAGGGCAGGTGAGGGCAAGGACCTGAATACAAACAGAAGGATGCACTAAAATGACAGAGTGCGCCACTCTTACTAAAAAGAAATATCTGTCACAGAAGCTGCCCTAGAGAATGGGAGGGCCTAATATATTTTGAGTGTGGGGTCGGGAAGTGTACTTATAGCTGCTGAGGTATTTCTGGGCAGCTTGCCAATTTGTTTAGAATGCTAGCATTCACATTTTTCCCTTGAGCTTCAACATTTTTTATTAAATGAAATGAACAAACCAAATTATACTGACAAAATAATTACAAGTGTCAGACATATAAAATATAATACACATGGATCACCACTGCCGCATTTATGGATCCTCAAATAAAGACCAATCCCCAGTAAAATCCTCCTTGTTCCCGGAGGAATGAGCAACAAACAACAGAAACAACTTAGGAACTAAGAGCTCATGTACCTCAGAAGTACAGAATTGACTTTGAAAATTTAGAATAGGAAAGAAAAAACCCGGGTGGGGGCAGAACATATTTATTCATTTACTTTATGATCACATGGACTGTGACTTAATGGGCTGGATCCAAAGGTGCCCTTGTATGCGCAGAACTGCTTTACACCTTGTGCTTAGAGAGCACTGTGAGAGACAAAGGCAACTTAAATTCCAAAATGAATTTTCTGCTTGTGCAACCCTTCTTTCAGGAATCTCTCAAAGACTTTTTTATGCCAAGAGGCCTATGCAGTTGTCTAAAATTTTCTTGAATAATTTTAATGATTGATCTATATTGCTTTTAAGGGTTTTTTATGTTCCTGTGTGCCACCCTGATTCTTTTACAAGAGGGCATATATAAATACGTTTATATACTTAAAATAAAAACTGAGCCTGTTACAGGGCTGCAGGAAGAGTACTAGTGACTACTTCCCTTTGGCCATAGTTCTTCAGATCCAATGTTTTCAAAGGGCCTCTTTTTCACTTTTGAGGATGATATTAAAGAACAGTGAAGAATGAAGGTGCTTCCTCACAAAAGAATTTCAGCTGTCTTTTTCAGATCTATTTGGGCACATGCTCACTTCAGGTGAAGATGTAGGGAGTATTAAAAAGATTGGGTTGGGGTGAGGGTAGAGACATTTAGGCATAAGGGTGTGAGATGCATTCATCTCCCACACAAAGTCACCTGGGCTGATTTACAGATCACTGCTTCCCAGATCAGATCTTCTCTCTCAACAACAACAAAATCCCCCAGAGTTCAAAACACATAAAGCCCTTAAACCTCATTGTCTCGCTTTGCTCTAGTGCAAAAAAATCAATTGTTCTTGTTAACAAAGTATAAAGCAGGAATTCTCTGATAGACAACACATCCCAGGCAAATCCTCTTGGCTTGGCAGAGCCTTCAAATGGAAATTTCAGCCTTGCTTTGCCTTCAACAAACAACTAAGTCCTGCAGAATTTGTATTCCTCAGGCTTCTCCCCACTTCACAACTGTAATCGGGATCCATATTACCTGGCTATATTTAGAGTCTTTGACCAAGGCTGTTGCCTGTCCTACAACCCTGCTGTTAGTTCTTTTGTCTGGACTGACTTTTTGCTTTCCATGTAATCAGTCAACCACAATTTAACTCGCCAGTGGCAAGTGCTTCTTCCCTTTGGCAAGAAGCAATCCTACCCAAATTAGCAAACTATTGTTAGTAGAATCAGGTGGGTTTCTGATCGTAGTTTAGCGCTACACAACTTGCTGATTCAGACATTGCAGCAAACTATAGTTTATGCTAATAGGGAGGAACACAAAAGTGCACTGAAGAGATTGCTAGTAGCTTAGGGGACAAAGCTTCTTCATCCTTACCCATGGCTACTAGGAGCAGAATTATGTAAAATAATAAATGCCAATTCCTTGACCTACATAATTCACATATTGCACAATCCAGTTTCTCCTGATGCAGACTTCTGATATTTGTTGCTAAGCCCATTTTGCCTTCTCTCCTGCTGTGCCCACATTACCTCTCAGCTCGCTAGCTCTGGTCAGCCTGCGATGGATCACTAAGCTCTGCGCAGCCCCTTGACCATAGCCCTTCATGGTGTGTCTGTTAGGCAGAAGTTACAGGGCCAGCAGCTGAGTTTCTTTTGTGGACTTGTCATTTTGCACAGCAGCTCAGCTAGGCTACCAGGAGGAGGCTACATTGTGATGTCACCAGTCTCCCTGCACTGCATTTAAGCCAACACAGGCCACTCGCTCTTCTTCCTAGTTTTCAGTTTAACTCGGGAGGACACCAAGTTGAACTACCTTTAGGGATCCGATCTCACACTTGGAGGCACCAAATCTCATGAAAGAGGTAAAAAATGAAATCTCTCAAAACTAAAGCTCTCTCCTTGTCCTCATGGCATACTAGGGTTGCCAAGTCTCAAGAGTTTTAGTCTCCCACAGGGTCACAGGAGCAGAAGGGACAGCAAGTCAGGCAAGAACTTTAGCGACACCATCGGAGTGCCTGGCTGATGAGGCTACTTAGGGGGAAGTGCATGGAAACACGGATCAGGGCCTGACTGACAGCCAGGAAGGGGTGGAGCCTTCACTTCTATGTAAGTTCCCAGACTAAGCTGTTGTGGTCTATGAGAGGGAAGAGGGTGAATGTCAACACACCACACACTTTCAGTCCTCCATACCATGCTTTGGAGAATTTCTAACATGCTGCCTGAACTGAGTAAACAAGTTCAGGAGACTCACATCTCTGACATGCATTTATATGCTTCTTCCAAAGCCCTTTTTCTCTCTGGCATCATCCCAAATCTTGTCACTGAACTACTGTGCAGGAGAAGAACCTAGGAGATCCCTCAGCCCCAAGCTGTGGTTTAATCTCTCACTCTCGCACATCCAGAAACATTTCCCATCAATTATCCAATATCAAAGAACAGATAACAAGCAGAAAAGGGAGCCCAATGTAGGCCATGCCTGTAAGACACGAAAAACACTTGGCAAGACAGATCACGGAGCAAAAGCCACATGCTACAGTGAAGGGTGAAAAACTGCCGAGATACACCTGCTGGCCAGAGTGGAGAGGAAATGTGGGAAAGTTCAACAGAAGAATTTATAGTTATGGAGTATAAAAGACAAATTCAACAGTGCAACTCCAGCAAAGAAAAATCCTTTCAAATGAGCTCAAATAGGGGATGAAGTCACAAGGGTGCCCTTTACATCCTGAACCCTTGCTTAAGTGCCTTCCTGACTTTTATGACAGTAGAGGCTGAGTTATGGAGTGATCACTGGCACAGGGGGGAAACATGTTTATGTTCAGAATTGCCCCTCTAAACGGCAACTGTTTGTGAATGAGATGGAACTCGAAGATGGTATCAAAAACAGAGTTCCATATGGTGGTATCAGCCTTTTGCCAAAGATGCAGTATCTTTTTACCGGTTAATTAAAAGCTGTATTTTTCATGCAATTTTCAGTTGACAACCAACATTCAGATTGTTCTTTCACAGCTTTCCGAGGCTAGTTTCCGAGGCTGCAGCCTAATGCTGCAGCAAGAGCCCACCAGCTTGGTCTCTCAAGCATAGAATCATAGAGTTGGAAAGAACCCTGAGGATCATCTAGTCCAACCCCTGCAATGTAGGAATAAGCAGCTGACCCATATGGCTTTATCAGCATGACGCTCTAACCAACTGAGTTATCTCTGATCCAAGTCCATACTTTAAAGCTGTCTCTTGTTACCACTGCCTCACCCTCGTTTTCACCCATGCTTTCCTATCCAGAAAGGTCTCCTAGCAATTCCTGGGGTGCTCATCATGCCCTTAACTTTTGAGTCCCCACCTCCCTACAAAATGATAAATTTGAATAAGATGTTTGATCTTTGCTTACCTGCCCCAAGCTTTTGGGATGGCAGGGATTGATAAAAAGAGTGTTTATCATCCACACAGTGCATTTAAAGTGTTCAAAGTGCTTCACATTTGCTATCTCACTCATCCTTATAACAAACTGTAGAGAACATGCTTGCCATGCAAAGGGACCACTGATTCAGTCCCTGACATCTCCAGATAACATTGGGAAAGATCCCTCTGTGAGGCCATGGAAAACTGCTGCCAGCCAATAGGCCTGGGCGATATATCAATATATTGCCCAGGACTGGTATGAGGGGCAGACCACAATGGTGGTTTCACTCAGCGGTATATAGCTACTGAAACTGCCACCGCTCCTGAGTCCCTCCAGCACCCAGCACAGCAACAGAGAAACAAGTTGCAGCCAGCAGCTGGATGCAGAGCAACTCAGAGCCACAGCAATATACAGTGGTACCTCTGGTTACGTACTTAATTCGTTCCGGGGGTCCGCTCTTAACCTGAAACTGTTCTTAACCTGAAGCACCACTTTCGCTAATGGGGCCTCCCGCCGCCGCCGCACGATTTCTGTTCTCATCCTGAAGCAAAGTTCTTAACCCGAGGTACTATTTCTGGGTTAGCGGAGTCTGTAACCTGAAGCGTATGTAACCCGAGGTATCACTGTACCGCTGAGTGTAACCACCATTGCAGTCTGCCCCTCAGGCCAGCATAGAGTGAGAATCAAGCTGCATTGGCCAGGGCAGGCGCAGTTTGTTCCTTCCTCCTCTTATTTCAACTGCTTGGCTGAGGAGCGTGTGGCTGCCCTCGCCTCAGCCAAGCAGTTTTACAGAGCCTCCAACTCTCTGCTTGCCATGGCACGCGAGCAGGAGAAGGATCTGGGCTCCCACAGCTGGGGAGCAGGAGGCTTTGTTAGGTATCCCAACAGTCTGACTTGGTATAAGACAGCTTCCCATGTATCAACATCCTCATTTTGCAGATGGGAGTGTGCAAGAGAACAGCACCTTGCCTAAGGCCTTCTAGTGAGTCTGTGATCACTAAGCTCTGCACAACCCCCTGACCATATGGAGGGGGTGATGACAGAGGCTAGATCTGAACCATGGCCTTCCAGGTTCACTGCTCATACCTGCATCCACCAAGCTCGAGGAGTTCTCAGCAATAAACTGAATGAATAAGTATATAAAGAAATCTGCAATGGTGCATGGTCTGCTATGCATGCGCAGTGAAGTGAAGCTTCTGCTTCTCCGCAACCCTCACTGGCATCTGGCAGGGTCCAAAGTGGTCTTCAGCACATGCGCAATACACGGCTGTGATCTTTGCTGGGAGACTGCCCAGCATCATGCTGTCAGCAGCCTGCTGGGCCATCCTAACCAGAACATCTGCTGTTGTTTATATCATCAAAATTAGTGGACTGCCTACTGGTACCTGTTCATCTTTAGATCAAGTTTAGGAGGGAACAAATCCCGGGCCAAAAGTGCAGGAAGTAAACAGTTTGCAAGCAGGGACCTAAAGGACAAGGATTTGTCTCCCACAGCATTCACATAACATGACAAGGTTTCTGGATCGCAGCACCCCAGTGCTTTAGTGATGACAGAAAATCGGTGAGCTATGCTGAAAAGAGTGGGCAAGTGGTAGCCTATGCCATTAACAAACACTGTCATTTTAGAGATCACAGCATGAAAGGTGAGTTCTGAAGAGGAGCTTGATTACTGTTGCCCCGGTGCAAAGTAAAAACTGGCAAAAGACCAAACAACTGAGCAGATTCACAAAATACTTCACAAAATGTCTACTTTCAAGCAAAGACAAAGTGATTCAGAGCCAAGGATGACAGCTTTGCAGAGTTGCCATTGAAGTCTTTGCAGCATTTCAGCAAGTGCCCACCTTGGCTGATTTGCTGCCAAATTGCTGCACAAAGTGAGTCACCCTGGCTGCAGTCTGGGGTGGGCAGAGAATGAGATGGGGAGAAGCACTGCTGGAAATACGATTCCAAGTCACAGATGCATCCTGCATCAGTGGGAAAAGCCATTGCTCAGAAGTAAAGCTCCTGCTTTGCATTCAGAAGGTCCGTGGTTCTATCCCTGGCATCTCCAATGAAAATGATCTTGGGTATCTGGGCTGGGAAAGGCCTAAGACCTGACGGAGAGCTGGCAGCCAGAAGAGTCTCATAAATTTCATAGTAACAAGGTCCCATGTTCAACTCAGCTCTCATTTTAGGAGGAAATTTTGCTTCTATTCTCAGTTCCCTCACTACAGCTATATGGAGAGCTTCAGCCTCTGCTGGCCCTAAAGTTGACAGATCTATACATTCCTGGCAGCTCCTGACACCAGCAGAAGCAGAATAAAATAGCAAAAATGCCAAATTATGCCAAATAAGAAATTGTGCTTATTTGGTAAATTAGCGTAATATATCAAAGTAAAAGAATTTAAATTTTCTGGGTGCATAAGGTGAGCAAGACATAGAAAAAGATGGGATGGGAAGAATTCACACCTAATGCACAAATAGAACATGAAGAAAGCAAACCTAAGGGATTCCCTAGCATTAACCTCATTCCTTGCTTCAATGACAATCAAAATACTGTCCATAATTTAAGAGCATTTTTTTTAATCTGCTCAATTCTAGAGACAGAAATTCACAGCCCCTGTCTGCCTTTGAGGCACATTAAAAAAAAGAAAGGCACATACAGTAACTGAGGGAATAGAACAGCATCAGATGATCTTCAATAACAGAATCCTGCTGGGCGCAGCTACCCTACAGGCCATCACAAAGCTTTATCACACCCAAGGCAGAGGAAATGCTAATTAACTTCTCACTTTTTACTTGATTCCGTATGGACTTAACTTTAAAAGGAGGGCCACCCACCTGCTTCCATTTGCCGATTTTCTATCTCTGTCTGGCACGCCAGCTCTAGACAAGTATAAGCTCTCACAAGCTCACAGATTCAGAACAAGCAAGGTTTTTAAACAGTGGTTTAAGAACCTGGTTGTGCCAGCCCTGGTAACCAGTTTCCTTGTTAATGCTATCGGAAACTGTGGTCAATTAATCCAGGAAGTATTGAATTGCCTTGCTCTGAGAAGGGAGGGGGAAGGGGCGGTGTGAAGACACAGCATGTGGGCACAAGGCTCGTGCCTATTTTGTCTAAGCTGAGAAATGTATGCCCAAACCAGTTTGGGGAAGTCCTCCACTTCTGGGCAGAGGAGAAGAATAGGCTCTTGACAATACAGCAGATTATGAGGTACTTCTTAGATCAGAGTTGCTTGTTACTCCAGGCAAGAGGCAGTCTCTACAGCTTTATTTGTACTGAGAGACTCCCTTTGCCTCTGCCTTGCTCTTTCCCATACTGGGCAGCAGGCAGGCTGACAACTAGTTGAATGGTACACAGAAGACACCCCCCCACTAGAGCATGTGTGTCACCAGGCATAGATAAAAAGCCTTATTGCATAGGACTTGAGCTGCTTAGGTTTTAATAGAAACAACAGGGCAATACCATTATAAGAACCAATGAAAAGGTTGCAATGAACTTCACAAGCTTTCATATTCTTTAAAACTATTCAGTTGGGCTGGATAGTAAGCAAAAGCAAGTTAAAACCTCAAGCATTGCCTAACCTAGCTAATGCAATAGCTCCATCATTCAATTTAAAGATTATTACAAACTACGTTTTCAGATAGCCCACAAGATATTTTACTTTCTCCCCCCATGCTTTTTGTTTCCAGCGTAACATCCAACCTGATGAATTCTGTGGAACTTGAAAGTTTTCTCACATTTGCTCCATGCAGATATTAATCTAGAGTCACTTTTGGATTATTATTTTTTTTAATGGGACAGGAGGGCTACTTGCAAAATGTTATTTTATAGTTCAGTTTTCATTATGGCTACCTGCAAGGGTTACCGTATTTTTCGCTCTATAGGACGCACTTTTCCCCCTTCAAAAATGAAGGGGAAATGTGTGTGCGTCCTAAGGAGCGAAGACGCCATAGCCCCGTGACCCTCTCCCGGCTGGAGAGGTGACGCGCGGCTATGGCAGGAGCCTCTATAGCCACGCGCCACCTCTCCAGCCGGGAGAGCGCGCACGGGGCTAAAGAAGCCCCCCGCAACCCTGTCCCAGCTGGAGAGGTGACGCGCGGCTATGGCAGGAGCCTCTATAGCCGCACGTCACCTCTCCAGCCGGGAGAGCGCGCGCGGGGCTAAAGAAGCCCCCCGCGACCCTCTCCCGGCTAGAGAGGTGACGCGCGGCTATGGCAGGAGCCTCTATAGCCACACGCCACCTCTCCAGCCGGGAGAGCGCAGACGGGGCTAAAGAAGCCATAGCCCCGCGACCCTCTCCCGGCTGGAGAAGTGACGTGCGACTATGGCAGCAGCCTCTCCGCTGCGCCTTTCCGCTGCTCCCTGACCTGCTCTTTGGGGCTGGTGGTGGGCTTCCCCCCCGCCAGCCCCAAAGAGCAGGTCGAAAGGAATCTGAAGCCTGGAGAGCAAGAGGGGTCGATGTGCACCGACCCCTCTCGCTCTCCAGGCTTCCAAGGTAGCCGCCTGAACGCACCTTAAACGG